GGAAAAGTTCAAAAGAAAGGCAGATGGGTTCCGCATGTACTGTCCGAAGACAACAAAAATCGACGGCGTGACACGGCACTCACTTTGCTTTCAAGGTTCCGGAAAAAGGATTTCTGCACCAAATCATTACAGGTGATGAAAAGTGGATACTTTATGAGAATCCGAAGCGTAAAAAATCATGGGTTGACCCTGGTCAACCTTCGACATCGACGCCAAAGACCAATATCCACGCCAAGAAGGTTTTGCTTTGCATATGGTGGGATTGGAAAGGTGTATTGTATTACGAGTTCTTACAGCCGGGTGAAACAGTAACAGCAGATCGCTATCAGCAACAATTGAGCAATTTGAGCGATTGTTTGAAGAAAAGAGGCCATTTACTGGCAAAGGACGTCGTAAAGTGATACTGCTTCATGACAATGCCCGACCACATGTTGCGAAAGTGACTCAGGACCATATCTTTGCGTTAGGCTGGGAACTTCTCCCGCACGCGGCGTATAGCCCAGACATGGCGTCTTCCGATTACTACCTATTACCGGTCTCTGCAGCATTTCTTGACTGATACACATTTTGTGACACTTGAAGAGATACGAAAATGCATTGATGACTTTATCGCCTCGAAGGCCGGTGAGCTTCTACCATCAGGGAATTCGCAAGCTGCCCGAAAGATGGCAAAAGGTCATCGATGCAAACGGGGAATATTTCCGTTGATTAATATAGTTTGTTTGCTTTTAAATAAATCTTGAATTTTGCAAAAAAAGGATCAGAACTTTTTTGCTCTCCTAATACTTACAATATTCGCCAAATGTCCGTATAACTCTATGGCAAGTCCACTCAACATTCGGTACTTCCTCTCTTTCTACAGCTTTTCTAATCCTTTGGTCCGTTTTATAATGCGACGGATATTTACACATATCTCCACTTTTAAGCCATATTTTGGTATAACTTGGATTCCATCGGAAAATTCTGCGACCACAAATCCTCGACTGCACATTGTATTTTCCTGCAACACAGAAATCAGCCTACGCGTCTTTTGTTTAAGGAAAAATTATAACATGAATAACTTGTAATTACTGAATGTGTGTAAATATAATTCATGGAAGAAAATTCGTATTAAGAAAAGACAATGTTACAAATGAAAACATAACGTTTTCAAAGTAGAAGATTATAATATTGAAATGCAAACTAATTTTCAATTTATCTTCTCTCTATGTTATTAATGTGTTGTATTTATAAGCGGTATCACTGCATGGTATTCTTTTTCTGTACACGGTAACTTAAAAAATTTGTAATTATGGTAATTTTACGCAGAGGCCACGTTTGAAGATTAAATAATTTTGTTACTTTAAATATGCTAAAATGAATAGAACTGCACGGATTACTATAAAGTTCCTCTACAATCAGAAATTTACGACCTACAACGATGTTTTCACCCTCTGTCGTAGTGGCGATATTTTCCAAACAAACTATTAGGTTGTTCGGAAAGTTCGTTTCAAATTTTTGAAATAAATTAAGAGCGCAATATTTTATACAAAGAGGAACTTTATTGAAGCAAATATGTACCGTTTTGTTCAACAACCTTGGCCCATCTTTCAGGAAGCTGCATGACGCCTTTGCTTCAAAATAAAGGTTTCTTATTGGCGAAGAATTTATCAAGATGACTTTTAAGGATTTTCAAAGACTTCGAATTTCTTGTCCCGAAGAAAATTTTTTAAAGAAAGAAATAGTAGTCAGTAGTAGAAATAGTAGTCAGATGGGGCAAGGTCGGGAGAATATGGAGGATGAGGAAAGAACGTCCCATTCGAAGTCTAACAGCTTCCTACGGATAGACATTGCGACGTGAGGTCTGGCGTTATCATGATGGAAAACAATTCCACGCCTGTTGGCCAATTCAGGGCGCTTCCGTGCGATGGCAGTCTTCAGTTCGTCCAGTTGAAGGCTGTACTTCGTCGCATTGATGGTTTCGTTTGGTTGAAGAAGCTCATAATATACCACGCCCTTAAAATCCCACCAGATACTCAGAAGAACCTTTTTCGCGTGAAGCCCCGGCTTGGCCACTGTTTGCGTAGACGCGTCGCTGGTTCCCCACGACCTCTTACGGCTAACATAATTGTATAGGATCCAACTTTCATCGCCTGTTATATCCTCTTCAAGAACGGTTCTTTTTGGTGCCATTGAAACAGCATATCGTAGACGTTCACACGTTCCAGCAACTGCCGTTCATTCATTTCGTGTGGAAACCCACACATCCAGTCGACTTGAGAATCCTAGCTTCTTCAGATGGTCATGCACGGAGGAAACAGACTTGTGCAGAGTGTCGGCAAGTTCTCTAACTGTCACTCGAGGATTTTCGTGCACGAGATCCATAAGAAGCGTTCATCAACCTCCTGAGGCCGGCCTGAGCGAGCTTGATCTTCCATGTTGAAATCGCCAGCTTCGAATTTTCGATACCATTTTCGAACTGTCTGGTGAGTGACGCAGGCATCTCCATATACTGAGAACATCTCATTCAGGGTCTGCGAAGCCGTGAAGCCACGTTTAAAGCCATATAGCATCACATGACGAAAATGGACTTTTTGTTCTCCATTTTTCAAACTGATTTCTGACGAAATAGTTGCACTTAGGAAGATTTGCAAAGTTTCCTTAGCGGGCTCATAGATCTGGGAATGTTTGTAGACAAACATAAAATCGTTTAGAACGCCCTAGTTCTTACTGATTACATAGAAATGTGGAGCGCGCGAAATTTGAAACGAACTTTCCGAACACCCTAATATATCGTTTCCTATAAGACAATTGTTAGGAGATTCGATAGAAAGAAATAAAATCTGGAAATTCTATCTTTGAAAATTGCGGACTAAAGCAACCTGCTATTAGTGGTCCTTTATCATGTAACTTTTTAATACAAATTTGGACGATTTGGTGTGGCAGAAAGAGCATCGGCAAAAAATGCCCGTTTTCGGTACCTCGATTTTTGAAACTTTTTTTATGCCAAATGGTTACTTATGATGACCCAAAAATCCCTGCAAAATTTCAAGATGAGCATATGCCCCGTTTAAGAAATATAGGGGGTCAAAATTGACCATGTCCAATTAAAAAATATAGCAGCTTCACATTTATACTCCAATAATAATGTCCAAAAAATTCAACCGAAATGGTTCTTTTAAGATTTTGGCTGCTGATTACGAATCTGAAGTCAGATTTTAAAAATTCAAAATGACGGATCCAATATGGCGGACGAATTTTTCTTAAATTCATCAGATTCACTTGAAATTCGTTACTCGGGGTTTTTGAGGTCGCTGATTACGAATCTAACGGTTAACTAACTTTTAACCAACACTAAATCTTCTTTGTCACTACATTAAACCTACTTTGACCCTACATAGAATCTATTTTGTCCTACAATGGATATTTTTCCTCACTATTTTTCCTCACATTGGACCTACATTCTACCTTTTTTTTTTTGTTAAGGAGGGGAAATGCCTGACGCGCACCCTGGGGCTCGTGCTGGAGGTAGTGTGGGACTTGCACCCACTAAAACCCCCCCGGCCCACAGCGTGCTGAATGCGAGGAGCCCGGGAATCACCATGCAAGACGGCACTTAGCCATCCGGACTCCCCGCCACACATGCGCGCCGCCACGCCAGACTCAGGTGAGAGAGCCGCACCTCTCCCTGCCTACCCCCGCCCCCCGGGTCAAACGGATGATGATCATCATCACCATCCGAACCCGAAGAAGCCCCCCCCGAGGACAGCGACGATGACGACGAGGACCGCGACGACGACGAAGACAACGAAGATGACGAGACGGACGATCGACGACGATGATGACGATGACGACGACGACGGCGACCAACGGACGATGACGACGACGACAACGACGACGATGACGACGACGACGACAAACCCGACACCTCGGACAACGACGACGACAAGGAAGACGAGGACAAAGGCGCGGAGCCGGGGGAGGGAGCGGACCTACCTGGTCCCCCGATTGGGAGGAAGAAGAGGGGGAAAAGCCCACAACCCAACGGTCGCCAGCCCTCTTATGGGCCCTCTCGGCATTCTCCTTTGATCCGACCACTGTGGCGGCGAACCGCAACACGGCCGACCAAACCCGGCGGGAGCGAAGGCTCTCGCGCACGACCGCGGGCAGGGACAGATCCCCACCCACCTCCCCCACCAACTCCTCACGCTGCACCCTCCACGCCACGCAGTGCTGCAGGATATGTTGCGCATCATCGCGCTCGTCCCCGCAGTGAAAACACCGCGGGGATGGATACTTCCCGATCTTGTGCAAGAATTCCGCGAAAACCCCGTGGCCCGTCAACAGTTGCGTAGCGTGAAAGGACAGGCCGCCACGATGCGGACGATCCAACCAGAGATTGAACTCCAGCAGGATCGCGTCACGGACACGAACACTCGGCAGTCCCGGGGCCCGGAGATGCAGAAGCCACTGCCGGCGAACCAGCAGCTCCTCCGCAGCCCGAGCCTCCGCGACCGCCTCGGACGTCCACAACCCGTACGGACGAAAGTCGCGAGCCCTCTCGTACATCCGGCGACGAGACGCCGCCAGGATGTCAACGGGCAGCATCCGAGCAAGGAGGGTCGCAGCCACATACGACACTATCCTGTATCCGGACACCACCTTGATGGCGATTCGACGCTGTATCCACTTCAGGTCCACCTGGGCTTGTTGAGTTGCAGCAAAGGCCTTAACCCAAACCGGCGCCCCGTAGAGAACCACGGACATCATGACGGTTGCGTACAACCGTCGCCGGGCCTCCCCGGGGCCCCGTAAATTGGGCATCAGTCTGCCTAGGGCTCTCGCGACTGTCGCGACCTTCGTCCGTACGTACTCGAAGTGAGGCCTGAACATCATACGACTGTCCAGGATCACCCCGAGATACTTCATGCGATCCCCCACCGACGCCCGATGTAACGCTCCCCACGCGTACATGCACCTCCACCGGAGGGGCCCGCCCTCGGGCCCTCCTCCCATGGAACATGACTGCCACTGTCTTGTCCGCAGACACCCTGAGACCGAGGCCAGCGATACTCCCCACCGTAAACTCCACCTGGATGGTGGCCAGGACCGAAGCCCTCTCCACAGAGGGGCCCGCAGCCAGAATCAGGGTATCATCCGCGTAGCATATGACTTCGCATCCAGGCTCGAGACGAGCATTGAGCACGCGGTCATAAACCACATTCCACAAGAGGAGGCCGAGCACCGACCCCTGGGGGACGCCCGCCACCACGTCGCGGGACCTTACACCCCTGCCGCGGACCGGGTACTCCACCGTCCTATTGGACAGGTAGGATCCGACCACACGCCGGAGGTAAAGGGGGAAACCCTTCTCCCTTAACGCACATAAGATGTGCGACCGCTGCACCGAGTTGAACGCGTTTATCACTTCCAACCCGACCGCCACGGCCGCACCCCCACCCGACACCACGTGCGACACATAGTCACAGACCCGAAGGAGGGCGTCCACCGTCGACCTACCCGTCCGAAACCCATACTGAGAATCGGACAGGGAGGCCGCCGGATGATCCGCCATCCAACGCTCCATCCTCCCCACCAGCACCCTCTCAAAGATCTTGCCGATCTCATTGAGGAGGCAGATGGGACGGGCTCGGAGCGGTCCGGCCGATTCCGCCCCCCCTTCGGGATCAGGATGAGCCTACCACGTCTCCAATTGGAGGGAAAAATACTCTCCGCGAGACACCTGTTGAACAAGTTCGTAATTACCCTGAGAAAGGCCGGAGGGACCTTTCTCCATATACCGGCGCGCACATCATCCGGCCCGGGGGCCGGGTTACCGCCCCTTCCCTTGCCGCTTATCGCCTCGAGCACCTCCCCCTGGTCGCATGACCAGACGGGGTCCCAGGCCTCGTCAGACAAAGGCTCGTCCCAATCTCGATCGGAGGGCCGCGGAAAGAGGGAATCTAGCAAAACAGCTAGTTCTTCCTCTTCGAGGGTCTCCGTGAGTGCTGGCGACGACCGCCGAAGCCGTTTTAAAACGAGCTTGTACGACAGCCCCCACGGATCCTCCTCAACCGACCGAACCAGGTCCTCCCAGGCGCGGACGTTCGCCGCCTTAATGGCTTTGCGAAGGTCCCGCTTGGCTCGACGGAACACAACACCACACTCACACAGGACATGCACACCCTTACGCCGACACCTAGTATAGCCGCGCCGAGCCCGCAAGCAGGCCCGGCGCAGCTGCGCGATCTCCTCTGTCCACCAATGGGCGGCAGAACGCTCGCGCCTACCACCCCCGAACCGGGACCTGGGGGCCGAGTCGTCGTAGGCACGAGCCATGGCCTGTGACACCCAGCCCGCCAGGCCCTCGGCAGATGCCACCTGGGCCTCCCCTGGACCAAACGCGCATCGCTCCTCCAAAGAGGAGATAAACTCATCCGGGCGGAACTTGGAGAAGTCCTAACGGGGGTAAATCCGCCGGGACCCCCCCCCCAAGCTCCGCCCCAACCCCCCCAGATGTCAATAGAAAATGTTATATAACGGTGGTCCGAGAGGGTTTCCCTCTCCCGGACCCTCCACTGCGCAACCCTGCCTGCCAGTCCAGGAGAAGCCCAGGTCAGATCTACCACCGATGTTCCCTGCGGCCGCACGCAGGTGCCAGCACCTCCTACATTCAAGAGGCGGAGATCCAACTCGGCGGCCCATTCCGAGAGGATCTCCCCTCTACGGTTCTCCCGGCGGGGATCCCACAGCCAGGACTTGGCGTTGAAATCCCCGCCAAGGAGAACCCCACGCCCCCGAAGGCCGGAGAGCACACCGCGGAGCCGGTCCAGCCGACCGAGGAAGGCCGCGATCCCCCCACTAGGTGGAAGGTAGACACTAACGGCATAAAAAGCACCAGTCCGCGACAACGAAGTCCCTCCCCCAATCGACCAGCCGACAATCCCCCGGCAGGCCGGACCCCCAGGCAGGATTTGTCGTTGATCCGCCATATTGGATTCGCCATTTTGAATTTTTAAAATCTAACTTCAGATTCGTAATCAGCAGCCAAAAATCTTAAAAGAACCATTTCGGTTTAATTTTTTGGACATTATTATTGGAGTATAAATGTGAAGCTGCTATATTTTTTAATTGGACATGGTCAACTTTGACCCCCTATATTTCTTAAACGGGGCATATGCTCATCTTGAAATTTTGCAGGGATTTTTGGGTCACCATAAGTAACCATTTGGCATAAAAAAAGTTTCAAAAATCGAGGTACCGAAAACGGGCATTTTTTACTGATGCTCTTTTCAAACGGAAAAGCTCTAAAAGTGTCTAATGGTCCAAGATATTTTATGTCGTCAGTTATGTGTAAAAGACAGTGAATATTATGAGATGCATGTTCAGGCCTGTAAATTGTGATGAAACATTCAACAAAATATTTTAATAATTTTTCAGCGTATTCCATGTGTTTGGTTTTTTCTGGCATAATATGTACACAGCAATATGCAAACAGAGAAAATGGGAAAAAATTTCTAACCGCAATTCTTTTTGTAATATAACGCGTCCAGTATATAAGAGGAATTGACGATACTCGGTTGTTTTCTATTGAGAATAATCTTCCAATTCGTGCGGTCTTCTTGCAAATTCTCGTGGAATATAAGGTCTGATATTTAGAAGAAACTTGGAAATATTTTTTATTTTTTTAGAGGATAGATACCTCGTTTTAAGAGGGCCGCTTATCCATAAGTTAATGAGTTTTCTCATAACACTAATACATATCATGTGCATGTAATCTAACGGAATTTAGGAGATTATATAAAAATTCTGAATATCTAGTAATACAGAACGACCGAGATGATGTTTCTCTTGATCTTGATTACGAAAAGTAACATCAGTTCTATTTTGACAATTCAAATCGGGAAAGTAAACTCTATTTGCAATAAACTCGCCTTCAATTATGCATTTAGAACAGTTAAATAGCCAGCATGACCTTTAGTAAAAGTAATAAAAGATTTTGCAGGCGCGTCACAAATGATAGTGTTACGTCCTGCTGACTCAGCGGACCCTAGGCTTCTTTTATAAATAAGGGAAATCGAATTTATTACTTATCATATGGCCGAATGCGCTCAGGCATAATACCACACGACGATATCTCTGGAATTTTCGATACCCCAAAAATACTAACAATCTTGAACCAACTCCTATCCTGTTTTCTACGCGCTTAATTATTGATAACAGTACCACGACATCGTTCTTAGAAATATCGATATTTACTTCTTAAGATAGCTGCCACGTTTTTTTTATTTACAAAAGACTTTCGAAATCCTCTTATTGTCACATGCATCTTATCTCCTATAAAATAATCTTCTGGAACATTTCCCCCAAAACCCCACTCTCTCAACCGAGGTGACTTTTTGAGAAAAGTCAAAAGCCTCACTCACTTCTCGCCGATCCAGCACTCAGGACAGACGCTTCTCTCCAGCACCCCTTCAGGGTTTCTTAACAATCAAGCCAACTTGTGGCTTAGACCGACCAGTATTCTTCACTTGTTAATTATTCGGTGCAACGATCTTGTGCCTTCTTGGACCATTGAGAGCGATCCTGCCGAAACCAGCTGCCTGTCCTTGGCGCAGAACTTGAGGCATCTATCCTCACGGAGACGCAGCAACCACATCTTTCATTGTCTACTAAGATCAGAGAAGTCCAGCAGTAAGTTATTTATATTTTCTTTTACCTGAGTGACCTCTTTCGTTTCATTTTTTTATTTTTTCTTCTCTCTCTTTTCTTTTCCTTTCGTTTTACTTCCGTTTTTTATCCTCCTTGGCATTCCTTCTTAATTGTTAAATCAGACGCCAGTGGCCAATCTTTTCGATCACAGTCGGACATAACGAACACGGGATTTTGCTCAGACCGCGATTGTTTATACATCTATGTATATATACACTTTATAAAAGCTTGTAAATTTTATTTCATTGTGAATATCCGTCTAATTACTAATAAAACAAGTTGTTTGTAATTGTAAGCTAATCACGGTTTCCAAATAATTATTCTCAACCAAAAAATTCTCTCTTCCCTCAACCGTCGCTCACGGTCCTATCCCAGGTAAAAGGATTTAGTTCCTTGACCTAAATAAAGGACCACCGACATATGTCCGCGCCAGATAAAGGGGTCATTCCGATCCTTGATCTGCACCGCAGACTTGCGAGTACGTCGGAGCTTGCGAAAGCAAGCGTCAAGTTGCGTTCCTCCTCCAGGACGTAACAATAGAATGTATTGAGATTGAAAAAGTTACGTTATTATATGTTATACCACTGGCAATCAAAATATTAATGTCATCTACAAATGCTTGTAAAAATTCATTCGCATCCGCTGGTTTACTTTTACCGGAATAACAACCAATAAAAAATACTTTTCCGTTTGGCATAACACGACCTAAAATTGGCCATAACTGATTGGAATTTGATCGTGATATCGGCATCCCGTCGATGCCTATTTGAATTGGAATAGAAGATGGGACGACATTTTTGACTGTGGATAAAAATTGAATAATATTGGGTTAAGTAAAAAGTTTTGAGCGTTTTCCGCTAGATGGCTTTAGTGAGGTCATATCTCACGATGTATACGTTGCATCTGGTCATTTTATACTGCGACTTAAAGGTGACATAACGCTTTAAAAAAAGTTCTTTGACAGTTTTGTGTTTGGTGAAGCCAGTTGTGTGTTAGAGCGTTCCAAAATGGAGGTAAAAAAAGAGAAAATTCGATACATTCTTCAGTACCACTACCACCAAAGGGAAAAAGCGGAGTAGGCGGCCAAAAAAATTTGTGCTGTTTATGGACCCAATACAGTATCGAATGCAATAGCAAAGCGGTGGTTCCAACGATTCCGTTCTGGTAATATGGACGTCGAAGATGAGACACGCTCAGGTAGGCCAATCGTCGAAAATGTCGATAAAATTATGGAAATCGTCGAGTCGGACCGGCATGCAAGCATTTATTCCATTGCCCAGTGTTCGCGTTTCGCTCGGTCGAGATGTCGGTATCGCTGAGATTTCAAACGTTTACAAATATTTTGTCATCTGCTGTTCACGTGTGCCCTGCTAGCTTAGTTTTCGATCGCTATTCGGTGTCTCATGCTGGGTTCACGTGAGCAGTAAATCATATGAGGCTGGAGCAGCCAATCCGGCACATACATGTGTTTACCTGTCCGCCGAGAGTCACCCGAGTGTCTCGGTGGGACTTTTTGTCGGTTTTTTGTAGCGCCTTTTAAAACGGCGATCGGTAGATCGTGGCTCTCTCTCTTCGTTCGAGTTGCATTGAGCGTTGGGCGCATAGATAGTCGCGCTTTTCTCGGCGTCTTTTTAATAGCGCAAGCCTGCCGCATGTCGTGCTGCCCGCTTGCTGCACTCAGTTTCCATTCAAATCACATAATTCGATTGCGCCTTAACGTCGGTTATTGCGTTCGTTTGTGCTACGCATTTGAGCGAGAAATATATTAACTTTATGTTTGCCTCTGCGTGCGGAATCCATGTATTTGGCGAGCGAATTAAAGGATATTAAAGACAAAGCTTGTTGACGTGCATCTTGGTGCCTCACCCGTCTTTTTTTGGTCGCGAAATAGCGACAGCACGCGCTCCGTCGGTCGCTTCGAAGCGACCACTGGCATTCTTCCGAATCTCGCCCCGATTCCCGCAGTGTTCGCGTTCACCGGGCCCAGATTTGAACACCCAGGAACTGAAGATTAGCCAGAAAACCGTTTGGAACCATTTGCATAAGGCTGGTCTCAAGAAGAAGCTCGATGTATGGGTGGCACACGAATTGACGCAAAAGAACTTTTTGGACCGAATTCTTGCCTGCGATTCTTTGCTGAAGCGTAACGAAATCGACCCATTTTTGAAGCGGATGGTGACTGGCGATGAAAAATGGTTCACATACGAGAACAACAACAGGCGAAAAAGATCGTGGTCCAAGCGTGGTGAGCCGGTCCAAACGATCGCCAAACCCGGATTAACGGCCAAGAAGGTTTTACTGTGTGTTTGGTGAGATTGGAAGGGAATCATCCACTATGAGCTGCTCCCATCGGGCCAATCACTCAATTCGGAACTACACTGTCAACAACTGACCAGATTGAAGCAGGCGATCGACGAGAAGCGGCTAGAATTGGCCAATAGGAAGGGTGTTGTGTTCCATCAAGACAATGCCAGGCCGCACACATCTTTGACGACGCGCCAGAAGCTCCGAAAGCTTGGATGGGAGGTTATATCGCACTCGCCGTATAGCCCAGACCTGGCTCCAAGCGATTATCACCTTTTCAAGCATTTGCAAAATTTTCTTGATGGTACGAGGGTAGTCCGATAAGTACTTAGCCTACAAAAGAAAAATGAAAATTTTGGAAAAGTGGCGATTTATTTCTCAACATAGTCTCCTTTTAGCTCGATACACTTGACCCAGCGATGCTCCAACTTCTTTAACCCGTCTGAAAAATACGTTTTCTCGAGGTCTGCAAAGTAGGCCTCCATGGCGGCGATGACCTCCTCATTCGACTCAAATTTCTGCCCGGCGAGTGACTTTTTCAAGTTTGGAAACAAAAAGAAGTCGCACGGGGCCAAATCTGGAGAATATGGTGAATGGGGCAGCAGTTCGTAGCCCAATTCGACCAATTTGACCTTGGCGAGGGCGGAGGTGTGAGCCGGTGCGTTGTCATGGTGGAAGAGCACTTTTTTCTTCGTCAAATGGGGCCGTTTTTTCTGCAATTCGGCGTCGAATCGGCCCAATAATTCGGCATAGTACAGCCCTGTGACCGTTTTGCCCTTCTCCAGGTAGTCGATGTAGATCACACCTTGTGAATCCCAGAAAACGGTGGCCATCACCTTTCCGGCCGATAGGACAGTCTTCGCCTTCTTCGGAGCACGTTCGCCGGGTGAAGTCCACTGTTTCGACTGTTCCTTGGTCTCTGGTGTGTACCAGTGGATCCATGTTTCGTCGACGGTCACGAAACGACGCAGAAACTCCTTCGGATTGCGCTTAAACAGCGTCAAACACTGCTCTGAAGTGGTCTCACGGTTGCGCTTGTTGTCCGGAGTGAGCAAACTAGTTTGGTTGGGAGGTTCTTATGCATCCACTTTATAGTCCGGACCTGGCACCAAGTGATTACCATCTGTTCCTGTCCATGGCGAACAATTTTGCTGGTGAAAAATTCGCTTCAAGAGAGGCTTGTGAAAATCGACTATCTCAATTTTTTGTCAATAGGGACGAGGGCTTCTATGAGAGAGGCATAATGAAATTACCTTCAAAATGGCAACAAGTTATCGAACAAAACGGCGCATATTTGACCTAAATCGGATCATTCTAACTATGGTAATTAAAGCCTTCAATTTCATGCAAAAATAATGGATTTCTTTTTACTACACCTGATATTTCGTATACCTACATCTTTAAAATATATTGTATGAAATCAGTTTGTGTTATAGAACATATACTATAAATAAAGTTGTAATTTGATAAATTCTTACTAATATTGTTATTTAGACAATCCAAACCTGACTCATCGCTTAGTGTTGCTTCGTTCCTTGTGTTAAGATTTATATTTTTTTATATATGCATAGCCTTGATTGATAATATCTTGCTTATACTGTTTCATCATCTTATGTCTGTTATTCTTAATACTTGCATCCTGTAAAATGATAGTACTATGAGATTCACTTATTCTTTGAGACACGGTAAGATCATTTGTATATTTTCAATTTGAATGTAAGTTAAAAAAGTTATAAACCATAATTTTAATAATTTATATTTAATATTAATGCTATAAATTTATATTTAATGTTAATACTATAAATTTATCATTGATGTTGAATGTATATATATATATATATAATGCTATTATTTGCGTAGGTGAGGAATTATATTATTATGTTCAGCAAAAGTAAGCAGCAGACCAAGTTGAGTGATATGAGTATCTTGTTAAAAAATATCACTCGAATTGGTCTGCTGCTTATTTTTTATGAGCGCAATAACATAATTTTCCACCTATATAAATGATAGCATTACATACATTTTTTGTTACCACGCAGGGGAAATCTATCATGGATACTTCCGACGCTTGCGGGGGAGTTGGAGGTTATGCCGGATTCCTACCGGCTAAAACTCTTGCGGGGTGCCTACCTTTCGGACCGTGGTGGGGAGAGTCGAGGGAACTACTCACGTATTCCCTCTCCAACACCCCGGCCCCAGGTCTCACACTAAGAGCCTCCCGCCTGTGTACCGCGCCCTCTCCCACAAAGGGAGTCGAGGACGCAGTCCCCGGCCAGTTGCACGGTCGGGTTGGCCTTCTGGTTTCACTTACTGGAGGGAGGGGACACCCATCTTCCCTCAGTGCCCCTCTTGTTCGTCAATGGGGGCGGGGGAACCCGGCCCCAACCAGGCTTCCACTCCCCCTTCGCTTGACCTTTACCGACGCCAGGGGGAAGCCGGTGTGTGGGCTTCACTCACCCGTCATCCCCTCCCCCCGCGCGTTCGATGGCGAGCCCGAGGCGGCCGAGGACCGGCGAGCCGGTAGCCGCTCCTTCTCGACCGGTGCCACTTCGGACCCGCTGCCAAAACCGGGGAAGCGCCGCTTTTGCCGTCGCCACTCCGTGCAGCGGTGGATACCGGGGCGGCGCTTCCACTCGGCGGCCTCCTTCCGCGATATCACGTTGCGGCAGAAGGAGGCCACCATCCCCCATGCCTCCTCGCTCCCGCACATGGCGCGAACCATGCGCGGGAGCGAGAGGTCCTCCACGCGGCACTTCACCGCCCGGGCCAGGACACTGCGCTGCTGGCTCCATACAGTGCATGTTACCAGTGTATAGTGCGCCGTGTCCACAGGCTCCGGGTAATGATGGCAACCGGTGGTGGGTTCCTTCCCTATCTGGCGTAGGTACTTCCCGAAGCACCTGTGCCCGGTTAACACTTGCGCCAAATGGAAGGTGATTCCCCGTCCCCTCCTGTCCGCCACTTTGGGCAGACAGGGGCGGACGGCCTCGGCCGTTCGGAGCCCGGGTCCCTGGGGGTCGGCCAATATGGCCGCTGGTCCCTCCCCTCCCTCGCGGAGCTCCTTGACTCTTCAGTAGAGGGTGTACCTCTCTTGAGCCAGGAGCTCCATGGGGGGGGGGGAGTCGGCCAGGGTGGTCGCCGCCATGTACGACACGGTGCCGTACCCCCGAATCGCCCTCACTACTACGGCTCGTATGGCCTGCTGCAACAGACATTTGCTGCTGCGGCTGGATAGAAGTTGGGGCGCCCATATGGGCGCCCCATAGAGGGCGATCGAGAGCACGATATCCACGTACAGGCGGTGAGCCCTCTATCCTAGGCCCCCCTGGGTCTTCATCGGGTTGGTAAGGGCCAAACCTGTTTTGCGGACCCGGGGGGCCAGATGCCTGAAGTGCGGCCCGAAGGCCCAACGGCTTTCCAACGTCAGGCCGAGATATTTAATCGTCGGCCCGACGTGGACGGGAACTCCATCCACCAGGACTTGTGACTTCGGTGGCGCCCTACGGCTGCCATCATGGAAATAGACGGCCTCCGTCTTCTGGGGCGCCACTTTCAGTCCCAGCTCCTTGATGGCGCCCACCATCGATTGGAGCGCCGCCTCCCCCCCCAATTATCCCTCCCGGCTACCACTAGGGTGTCATCTGCGTAGCACATGACGTGGTAGTCAAAGGAAAGGTGAGAGCGAAGCACTCTGTCGAACGCGATGTCCCATAGCAGGGAGACCGAGAACCGACCTCTGGGGGCACCGCGTTCCATCATGCGCCGGCCCTGGACCCCGCCTCTCCCCGAGTAGGCGAGGTCCCTGTCCTCGAAGTAGGCCGCGAGGATATGCCAGAGATAGACGGGCACCCCATGATATTCGAGGGCTCGTTCAATCTCCGACCAGGGCAGGGTGTTGAACGCGTTCATGATGTCTAAAGACACCACGAGCAATACCCCGCTCCTCTCCTTCACGACCGTGCGGGTCAGGTCCCGGACATACTGGATTGCATCCAGAGTGGAACGTCCGGAACCCATATTGCCGGTCGTGGAGATTCGGCCCCTCCGAGGACAAATGCTGGGCGACGCGGTGAGCAACATACGTTCCAGCATCTTGCCCGCCTCGTCCAGCAGGCATATCGGCCTATAGACCGGCGCGCCTCCGGGTGCTTTGCTCTCCTTCGGGAGGAGGACCAATTTGGCCTTCCTCCATTCTGGGGGGAAGACCCCCTCCCTGAGGCACCCATTGAGCACTTTTTTTGTTAACGCAGGGAAATCCATCATGGATACTCCTGACTCTTGGGGGGGGGGGTCGGGGGTTATGTCGGACTCTTACCGACTAAAACTCCTGCGGGGTGCCTCTCGGACCGAAGTGGGGGGAGTCAGGGGAACTACGCCTGCATTCCCTCCCCGACACTCCGGCCCCAGGCTTTCCTGGAGCCCCACGCCCAAGTACCGCGCCCCACCCTAGCTGGGAGTTTAGGGCGCGGTGCCCTGGCCGGTTATCCAACCAGGTAGGCCTTCCGGTTTAATTTAGGAGAGAGGGGACACCCGTCCTCCTTCCTCGCCCCCTTTCCTCCCCTACGTACTGGGTATGTATGGAGGGTACAGGGGAGTAAAGCCCAGCCCCAACCGGGGCCCACTCCCCTTTTACCCTACCATTACCGACGCCACTAGTGGGTGAGAGAGTTCATTCCCTCTCACCTATCCCCTACTGCTGCGTCGAAGTCGGGCCCGAGGCGGCCGAGGAAGCGGCCTCCAGCAAGCCGGTGGCCTCTCCTCCTCGGCCGGCGCCACCTCGAGCCCACTTTCCCCCTCTGGGGAGCGCCGCCTCTTCCGTCGCGGATTGTGACGAGATGGACGACGCTCTTACTCGGCGGCCTCCTTGCGGGACATTACGTCCCGGCAAAAGGAGGCCGCCACTTCCCATACCTCCTCGCTCCCGCAATTGCTTTGAACAAGCGCGGGAGCGAGGGTTTCCTCTTCTTCTTCCCGGCACCCCACTGCCCGGGTGAGGACACGGCGCTGGTTAGCTCACGCCTGGCATTCTACCAAGGTATGCTGCACCGTATCCTAAAGCGCCGGGCAGTGGTGGCATCCCGCAGTGGGAGCCGGCCAGGGCCGTCGCCGCACTATACGCGATGGTGCGGTACCCCCGAACCGCCCTCACAACCATCGGCCGCATTGCCTGGCGCAAAAGCGCCTTGCTGCGGCCGGAGACCATTAATCGGGGCGCCCGTATGGGCGCCCCATAGAGGGCGATCGAGAGCACCACACCGACGTATAGGCGGCGAGCGTGCCATCCAGGGCCCCCCTGGGTCTTCATAAGACTGGCTAACGCTAAGCCAGCCTTCCTGACCCGGGGGGCCAAGGCTTTAAAGTGGGCCTCGAAATTCCATCGACCATCCAACGTCAGACCCAGATACTTGATCGTGGGTGCGACGCGGACGCGGACTCCATCCACCGTGACCCGGGTCTCCGGCGGCGCCCCATGGCGGCCGTTATGAAAGTAAACGGCCTCCGTTTTCTGAGACGCCATCTTGAGCCCCAGGTCAGCGATTGTGCCCACTACGGAATTAAGCACCGCCTCCGCTCGGAGACGGGCCTCCCCCTAGTTCCTTCCCCCGGCTGCCACTAATATGTCATCCGCTTAGCAGATGACGTGGCAACCTGGGGGAAGGGAAGTGCGCAGTACCCGGTCAAACGCGATGTCCCATAGCAGGGGGCCGAGGACCGACCTCTGCGGGACACCACGTTCCATGGCACGCCGACCTTGAACTTCGCCTTTCCCCAAATAGGCGAGGTCCCTGAAATAGGCCAACAGGATGCGTCGGAGATAGGCGGGCACCCCGTAATATTCGAGGGCCCGCCCGATCTCCGGCCAGGGCAGGGTGTTGAAAGTATTAATGATGTCCAATGACACCGCCAACAACACCCCGCCCTCCTTCTCCACGACCACTCGAGTCAGGTCCCGGAGTTGCTGGATCGCGTCCAGTGTAGACCTCCCGGGCCTGAACCCGTATTGGTGGTCGTGGAGGTTCGGCCCCATCAGGGACAGATGCTGGAGGAGGCGGTCGGCAATTATGCGTTCGAGCATTTTGCCCGCCTCGTCCAGCAGGCATCAGCTTGAAGGTCGGCGCGCGACCGGGCACCTTGCTATCCTTGGGGAGGAGGACCAACCTGGCCCTCCTCCACTCTGGAGCGAAGAGCCCCTCCCTGAGGCACCTATTCATGGTGTCCCGCATGGCTGTGGACAGGCTCCTTCCGCTGAGGGCGAGAGCCCAGGAGCAGCCAGGAATACCATTGGGGCCTGGCGCTTTGCCTTCGGCCCCGAGTCTCTTCCTGACCATGGCGAACTCCTCCAGAGAGACCTCCAGACCTTGGTCCCAGTCCCCCTCCCGCTGTTCGGGAGCTGAGATATGGGGGGTCCCTTTCCACCTTCGGGAAGAGAGTGTCCAGGAGCCCCTCGAGGGCCTGGGGATTCAACGACTCCGTTTGCGGGGACGCCCACGGGCGGATCTTTCCGATCACCCGTTTGTAGGGGCGCCCCCACGGATTCTCATCCAGGAGCTTACCATCTTCTTCCAGGCTCCCTTTTTCGCCTCAGCTATGGCGACCTTGAAGGCTCTCCTCGATTCGAGGTAGCCCTCTTTCCCTCGCGGCTTCCCCGCCTCGTCGCCGGGCCCGGATGTAGTCCCTTCTGGCCTGGACGGCAGCCTCCCTGAGATCAGAAAGTTCCGCCGTCCACCAGTATGCAGCCCGGCGCTGGCGGGGGTGGGACTGGAGCATGGCGGTGTCACATATTGACACCACCATGCGCACCAGTTTCCTACCCCCCTCCCGGGGGCATATCAAGGTGCCAGGTGGCCACGAGGGTGGCCGCTGGAACCTGTCCACATCCAGTTGACTGGTAGCCTATCTTCTGGGGAGGGAAAGTTTCCCCTCCCCTGGGCGGCGGTCTAGCACCCGCGGAGGGTCCGGGAGACCGAGAGACCACACTATATGCCAGTGATTGGAAAGTGTTTCACTCTCGGTCTCCACCGATCACTCCCGGAACATCCGGGCGGCCGAAGGAGAAGCCCACGTCAGATCAATGACGGACTCCCCGTTCGGCCGCACGCAGGTGCTGGCTGACCCCCTGTTCATCAACAGGAGGTCCAGACCTGCCGCCTAGTCGATAAGGGTCTCACTTCGGAAATCCTCCTGCCGGGGATCGCAACCCCACTCCGTAGAGTGGGCGTTGAAATCCCCGGCAATCATGACGGGCCGGGAGTAGCACCAACGTACCACATCCCCGACCCTGTCGAGGATCCTCTTAATATGGGCGAGTTTACCCAGACCGACTCTATTTCTGTAGTGGGGGAGGTACCCCCACCACAGTGATGGGCTCCCAATCAACTGCCACAAAGGAGTCCCCCTCTGCCCTGTGTTCACAGGGGGGGGGCCTTAACGTGTCTGGCACCACAGCCACGGAGCCGCACCGACTCCCGTACCAGCAAGAGCTGATTGGTGGGATATAGTGCGGCTCCGTTGCCAACCCCAGCCCGGCACCCAGCTCAATCATCCTGTGAGATCACAGGTCCTGAGCACGGATGCCGTGGCCGAGATTAGCCTGTCGGACTCGAAGGGGCATGAAAGCAAGCCGTTCACGCCTTGCGACGTGACGGGTGTCCTTCTTCCCCCTCGGGGGGCGGGATACTTATCGGGGTGAACATATCCACTTCCGAATCTGATCCCGTCCCTTCCGAGGGGGTTTCGGCTATGATGGCCTCTCCCAATCTAGGTGTCTCCTCAGGGGTATAGGGTGTCTCCTCGGAGGCACACGGAAACCCTACCTGCGCAGCCCCCTCCTCTGGGGAGTATGAGGAGGGGTCGCCAACCTGGGGATCTAGGGGTGGCACTCCCTCTTGATCCCCCTCCAATTCTAGGGCAGTTGGGGGTGTGGCGTCTTCTTCCACCCTCCTTACCTTTCCTTTAGTTTCCTCCTGCAGAGATAACAAGTCCTCCCCCTTTGTCTCCAGGTCCTCCCTCTTTGCCGGGGCCTGCCTTCTCTCCACTTTCCTTTTGCTCCTCCGTGCTTTCGGCTCGTCCCTCGGCTCCTTCGGAGTTACATCCATGGCGGTTCGGGCCTCCGTCACGGTCTTCTCCGGCTGTTCCCTCGTGTCAGGGGAGGCCAGTTTGGCCTCCTCCGTCCACTCCTACGTTTCCCTCGCTGTAAGGGAGGTCGACCTGACCTCCCCCTCCGATAGTTCCACCACTGTGAGAGTGTCCCGACCGGCCACTCCTGTTCCTCCTTTTCTCTTAGACGTAGAGGGCGGACCTCCTCTGCCCTCCTTTTCCTTTGTCCTAGGTCGGGAGGGCCCCACCTGCCTCCCCTTTGGTGGTTGGTCCTCCCTTCTTCTTTGTCTTCCTCCTCCTCTTCTTCCGCGAGGAGGGTTTGCAAGCAGGCCCGCCGACTTTGTGCACTGCGGGCCTGCCTGCCTCCGTACGCACAGCGCAACGAGCTAGTGCCTCCTGGCATTGTGCGACACGGTGGCCGGGGTTACCGCAACGGTAACAAAGTCCGCTGCGTTCGACAGCACTCGTACACCGCTCGCGCACGTGACCCTGCTCCAAACACCTGAAGCATATCACGGCGCGAGCGGGCAGCGCCGTCACCCTGGCGCGGGTCTAACCAATCTGGACCTGGCGCGGGTCTAACCAATCTGGACCCGCCCCGCCTTGGCGACCTTGGCGGCTACCGCCTGCGGGTACTGCACCACCACCGCCGCCGTCCCGCGCTGAGAGACACTCATCCGACTTTTTATTTTTTTTTTATAACGCAGGGGAAACCCATCATGGGTACCCTCCACCCCCTGGGAGGGGCGGAGGGTTATGTGATACTCTTACTCACTAAAACTCCTGCGGGGTGTCTACCAGTCGGACCGTGATGGGGGGAGTCAGGGGAACTGCGCCAATATTTCCTCTCCGACACCCCGGCCCCAGGGCTCGTTGTCGAGCCCCACGCCTAAGTGCCGCACCCCCTTCTCCTTGAGGAAAAGGTTTATAGCGTGGCGCCCCAGTCGGCTAAGCCGACCGGGTTGGCCTTCCGGTGACTATTACGGGAGGGGGGACACCCACCCCCCCCTTAGAGTTCCCACTCTGGGGGCGCGGGGAGCGAGGCCCTTTCCCAGAGGGCCTTGTTCTCCCCCTTTCCTAACCTAACAGACGCGCGAGGGAGCGCGGGGGGAGGTCATTCACCTCTGTCCCTGCGTCCCTCCCCCGCGCGTCCGATGTCGACCCCGAGGCGGCCGGGGGGCCGCGGAGCCCGGACTGCCGGTCTCCGCCGCCTCCTCCCGGCCGGCGCCACCTCGGAGTCGCTCTCATCTCTCCCCGGAGAGCGCCGCCTTCTACCCGCCCGCACTCCACGGTCCGGGTTGCGTCGGCGCTCCCACTCGTCGGCCTCCTTCTGGGACATTACGTCCTTGCAGAAGGAGGCCGCCGCCCCCCATACCTCCTCGCTCCCGCACATGGCTCGCACCATGTGCGGGAGCGAGAGGTCCTATATCCTGCACCCCACTGCCCGGGCCAGGACACGGCGCTGCTCGCACCACGCCTCGCACTCGGCGAGGGTGTGCTGCGCCGTGTCGTTCGGCTCCGGGCAGTGGTGGCACTCGGTGGTGTTTTCCTTGCCTATCCGGTGCAGGTACCTCCCGAAGCAGCCATGCCTGGTCAGTACCTGCACCAGATAGTCCACGCCCCCTCCTGCCCATCATTTCTGGCAGGCAGGAGCACACTCATCCGACTGGCGGACACTTCCGCCGGTGAACATCCCCCAGCCCGGGACATGGCGGCCACCACCTCGTCGGTCCTGGTTGTCAGGTCGAGGCCGGTGAGCTGCAACGCAGTTTCGTTCACTGGCCTCTGCACCCTGTAACCGGGGCCCTGTTCGCCGCCAGCTTGCGGAGTGCCTCCGCAAGCTGGTCGGCTGCCCCGGAGCTGAATCAGCATAGCCCCTGTGAGGGTCTGGCGGACTCTGAGGGATCCGTCGATCCCTAGATCCGCCGGGCTGATGAGGCGCCTGGCCTCCTGCATGACCTCTCTGTAGGAGTTCTGGGGGCAGGTCACGGTGATGGATGCCGAGCGCGGCGGCTTCAGTCCTGTCCGCCGTGTCACCTTCTGGCCCTCTCTTCAGGGTACCACCTTCGGAGGTGGAGGTGGAGATAGGATCTCCTTCCTCTTCTCCTCTTTGTTGATCCTCTTTCTTTCCTTTCTTCCCACTACCTGTGCCTAGCTATCCTTGTTTTCGGCCTTCTGGGGTTGCGGGATCCCAGGAGAAGGAGCTTTCTTTGTCTCCTTAGCCTGCGGTATTCTTTTTACTCCCTTGCTGATGACTCTCTTTCCAGCCCCAATGCTGGACGGTTCTGCAATCCTGGCAGCAGTGTCGTCAGCCGGTCCCCTCTTCGGTCCTCTCCGGTTCTTCGCTGGGGTCACGGCCGTGGCAACTTCAGTAGCCTGCTGCTGCTGTCGCTGTTGCTGCTATTGCCTCCGCCTCTCCTT